CAATAAGCCCCTAGAAGCTGTGGTTTACAGTGAATTTATAACAGCCAAGGGGCGTTGTTAGGCACGATGCGAAGCGGAGTTAGCTGTTATAAATTCACTGTAAACCACGGCTTCATGGGGCTTATTGCTTTTATAAAACGGTTATTCCATATACGTAGCATGGTTTCACAAAATAAAAAAGAGCAAATAAAGTGTAAGGATGTTAAAGGGGTGGTTGATTGCGATTTCACTTTTTTAACGTTAGTTAGTGTGTAATGTTGCTGTTTGAGCATAAACAATATCTGCAAAGTTGCAGCGCTGAAAGTTCAATGCAAACGAAGATATCGTCTTTTAAAATTCTGGCAGTTTAGAGCAAATAAAGTTTAATGATATTAATAAAAACAGTATTCTTCCACCAAACAATGTAGTTCCTCAGAAACAGTTGTGGTTGCTACAAAGTGGTTGCCAAGCAACAGACAAACGTAAACAAAGGTGTATGTTACTTTGTAGAGTCATTTACAACAGCTTCGAACGCAGCTCAGCCAATCAGAATCAAGCACCGGAACTCTCCGCTTTATAATTGGATCAGCTGAAATTCGTGGCTTGTATTTCTGATTCATGTTAGGTGCGTCTCTGGATCCTTCATGTCTGCCACTTCTCCATTTCATTTCCTCACTGCAAAAAAAGGCTTATCTTACTTAGTATTTCTGTCTTGTTTCAAGTCAAAATATCAAAAAATTCTTAAATCAAGATGCATTTACTACATAAGCAAAATTAAGTGCATTATTTTACTTATCCCACTGGCAGATAATTTTATGCAAAATGCACTTAATTTATTTTTTTCTCCTGGAAACAAGGCGAACTATCTTACGTCATTTTGCTTATCTAGTAAATGCATCTTGATTTAGGAATTTTTTATATATTTTGACTAGAAGCAAGACAGAAATACTAAGTAAGATGTGTGTGCGGCTCGGTCAGGGAATAAATACAGTCTGTGGGTCCCTGGTGTGATCCTGGGTCCCTCAAACTTCACGTCTGTGACGGTCTGACTGGATTATTGAATAATGTGTTGATCTTTTGAAAGCATCACGATGAACAGAATGTCTTCTGTCCTGCAGCGTCTTCAGGAGGATAATAGATGATCGTTAGCTCCGTCTGAGCTAGTAAATGTTTAGATGATGTGAAGCTGTAATTATGTGGCTTGCGTTCAAATTATTTTGGTCTGAATAAATTAAACATGATAGTTTGAGAGTTTTCTCTCCTTTTCACTTCCCAATGAGCACTGGAAGCTTTCAGCACTAGTGCAACACCATGAAGGTCACATGTGTCAGTGAGCCGCAGAGAATGATGGGAAATGTAGTTTTGTAGTTTATGAACTGGATAAGGCCTTGTCCACGCTAGTATGTTTTCGTTCGAAAAGCATCTTTTTCTCTCCGTTTTGGCCTTGTGTCCACACTGAGATGGTGTTTTTGTCAAGAAAAACTGAGCTTTTTGAAAATGCTGTTTTTGCGTTGTAGTGTGGACTGTGAAAACAGAGGCCTTTGAAAACGATGACGCATGTGACACACATTGTACCTATAGTTATCTGTTTATACTGGTCCTGTGCCTGCTATGTGCTTTTCACTTTCAGTTACTTTGTACACTCTTCATATCACAGTCCTGCAAAGATGACCTCTCCTCTGGCTCTTGTGTGATCAGGATTTTCCAGGATTTTCCATCATAGAGTGCCGGGACAGGAAAATCATTTTGTTTAAAAAAAGGGCCGTCCTGTAGCCGGACACAGTTTATCCATGACAGAAGCGTGAGAATACGAGCGGGATGGAAAGACTGTGACGCTGTTTGGCCGAGCTGTTTTTCCCACTGCAGCTGTGTGTGTGTGTGTGTGTGTGCGCGGGGTCAGGGGTCAGCTATGGGTTTGACTGCTTCTCGGTGCTTCAGGTGTCCAGGAAGCTCCTACAGTTGCTGCTGTCTCATCGCCAGCCAACCGTCTTCCTGCCACGGAGCGCTTGCGGCCGCGCAGTTATGAAAGAAAAAGTGAAAATCATCCTCTGTTTCAGCCCTCCGTCACACACACACACACACACTCACTCACTCACACACTCACACACACACACACACTCACACACACACACTCGCACACACACACACACACACACACACACACACACGTTCGCACACACACACACTCACTCGCACACACACACACACACGCACTCCTGTGAACTGCATGGCAGGAAGGGAGACTTGCATAACGCTGTAATTCAGGGTGGAATGACACACCAGACACCGTGTGGTTCGGGGATACGCCAGTGTTTCCGTCTCTCTGCGCTCTGATACCGAGGCTCTGGGGGGTAGACAGCTGGTGTGAGACACAGAGATAACCCCCCCCCCCGA